TAGAACTAGCTCAAACACCTAGTCTACTTTATACAATTAACACTGAAATATGCTGGAATAAGTCTATTTAAAAATATACAATACATTTGTGAATATATAACTATGTAATAATTACAGCTTTATATAACTAATCGATCTAAATATGTAGTATATAATCGGAAATTACAGGGCTACCTGTGTTTTCACTTAGTTATGTAAATTCTTCAGTGATTTTCATACCGATGTTTTAATCATTTACCGTAGTTGTTACTATGTAAAATGTAAACAAACACCTTTGTCTCCAATTGTTATTACCAATATAAATACTACAACAACAAATCCGTGAAAATGTTATCAACTTGGATTCCAACCAAAGATGTCACATCTTTTGAAAACTATATCACATTAAAATAAACAGTACCACAAAGACAAAGCCGTGATTAGTAAAAAAAACTATGTGATTAAACTACTCAAAAATGCAAATATGAAAATGAAGACGGGTGTAATAAAAGTGATATAGAGGGCTCTGCAGGACCATTGCGAGTCAGTCGTCAGGTTATATGGGCGGTCCATCATTGTGTTGAGACAGCTCCTTGCAAAACAATGTCTCGGGAGAATATACGGCTTCTGTACTAGCACTGCATAGCTTGAGTATTACTGTAGAAAATGAAATCGTCAATTTTATTTTAAATTTCAAGCTCAAAGAATCGAAAAAACACCAGCTAATATTATCTTTAAAACATTTTCCTAACGAGCATTTAACACAAAATGTGACTAAGATGAAGAAATAAAACAGAAAATTGTATCATATAAAAGACAATATTGATCACGCTGACTATTATTAATTTAAATTTCATCATGGTCTATTTGTGTTGACGAAACATTTTGCTCAAATTTTATTTGAGTAAAGTCATAAAGAAATTGTTGTATTCGGAACATGTTTAGGGTTCTAAACAACGGTAACCAATTTAATTGTTAAAATACAAATATTGAAAACTTAGGGATACCTTTACACATTTTTACATACCACTATACGGCTAGTTATTATATGAAATCTTTATACAGGATTAGTAAAAAGTGTGGAGACCCCCTGATATTTTTTTAACGGCCCATACTAGAAAAACTAAACTCGGCACACCATTATGGCATGTTATGAAGTACTTTTTGGGCATAACCTCCACTTGGTGTTCATCCCCAAAATGTGGGATTTTGGGGGAAACTAAAAAATTTCAAACACAAAGACCCATCGAGTGACTTTGAAGGTCCTGGTAAAAGAAAACCAACAACGCAAACTAGAGGTCTCTATCTCAGTTCAGTACAAAATGGCAGCCAATTGAAATTCTCATAAGTTCCCAAACCCAAAATGGGGGATTTTGGGGGAAACTCAAAATTTTTAAATGATAAGCCCCATCGAGTGACCCCTCATTTTGAAGGTCATAATAAAAGAAAACTAACAACGCAAACTATAGGTCTCTATCTTAACACAGTAAAATATGACAGCCAATTGAATATAAAATTACAAGTTATTTCCGATTTCTAAAGATTTCAATCAGCTTCCATTTTTTACTGGATTGAGATAGAAACCTCTAGTTTGCATTGTTAGTTTTCTTTTACCAGGACCTTCAAAACGAGGAGTCACTCGATGGGGCTTATTATTTTAAACTTTTGAGTTTCCCCCAAAATCCCCCATTTTGGGTTTGGTAAGCAAGTGGCTATTAGGCTTAAAAAGTACTTCATAACATGCCAAAAAGATGTGTAGAGTTTAGTTTTCCTAGTGTGAGCCGCTGTAAAATTTACGGGGGGTCTCCAGACTTGCAAAGCTGTAAGTTAAATTCAACTTCTGAGAATTTCAATCGGCTGAAATTTTATACTGGATTGAGATAAAGACCTCTACTTTGCGTTTTTGGGTTTCTTTTACCAGGACCTTCAAAATGAAAGGTCACTCAATAGGTCTTTGTATTTGAAATTTTTGAGTTTCCCCCAAAATCCCCCATTTGGGGATGTACACCAAGTGACGGTTATGCCCAAAAAGTACTTTATCACATGCCATAAAGGTGTGCCGAGTTTAGTTTTTCTAGTATGGGCCGTTAAAAAAATAACAGGGTGTCTCCATACTTTTTACTAACCCTGTATATAATACGCTAAGCCGATTTTTGTGAACAGAACTCCTCCCTCATTTTTGGACCGATTTTGACGATTAAAGTGTAAAAAAAAAAACACCATCCGTTCAAATTCATATATATATATATATGTGTCCGTCAGCACGATAACTCAAGCAAAATTGATCCGATTTTGATGAAATTTGGTACAAACGTGTAAACGTACGTTTATTCGAACGAGTTCGCGATCCAGCATGATCGGACCATGGGAACTGGGGTTTACGGGGGGTTTTATGGGGTAAAAATAGGTTTTTCCCATTTTTGACCCAAAAAACATAAAATTTTGCAATTTCTTTCCAAACCATTTTGTAGAGCTTAAAAAAACAAATAATTTGGTATATTGAAGCGTTATTATGCGCCTAATAGTTACGGAGAAAATTCCAAAAAATTGTAAATTTAAAATTCCCATGTTATTCTTATGGAGAAAAAGTAAACTGTTGTAGTTTGCTTGTTTGTGAACATATTTTGATCAAATTTGGAAAATGTTTTTATTTCTTACTAACTATTCACATTAAAAAAAAAAAAAAAAAAAAAAAAAAAACAGTTTTATCCTCGCTGATTCAGCAAACCTAAGTACTTGTTAAACTAATTTTATTTAAATCAAGAATAAATGTTATATTTTTAAGTAGACATTTCAGTGTAAATCCAATCAGTCAAATGGAAATTCGCTTAGTATGCAGATTTGCTGCGGCGGGGGTATTTTGATATTCTTATTAGTTTGGTCAGGATCTTCCATCAAAGTTGGATTTTCTCCCATAAGATTAACATGGGAGAATCTAAATATTTAATTGGAAACTTTGTCACCACTAATTTGAGAGAACGCCTGGGCGTAGAAACTTGGTAGAGGTGTCCTAAGAAAGGTCTTGGTCTGTAGATAAGTTATGAAAAGAAAAACGAAGTAAATTCGCTTAGGGCTCTGCCCAAGAAGCCTTTAAAGATCCCTCCACAGATTTGTTTACATTATGGTCATGTGGATAATACTTTTTAATAACACAGCTGTTAATTTTAAAATTGTGTTTTAAACAACACACATTTATTGGGAGTTACTGAATTGTCCAAAAGAAGTATTTGCAATGTTATTTTCTGATTTTCCTCTGTATTATTTGAGTTGCAATATAAAAATCCATTACGAAATCAGTGGAAAATCCTTTTATCACAATAACTCCTACAACTGTTTCTTATTGAACTATCTTATATATATTTAACGAGTTGGTGTCTGCACTTTTCACACCGTTTCCCTATATTTTATCATATTATTCTAGACAGATCATCATAGGTTCATGAGATAATTGTCATACATGCTATCAATCATTTTAAAAATCTTCGATTGTGTAATGCCATACAAAATAATACAAGTACAGAAGGGCACGGTGCCCATTTGAGCCATATCCATATTTTGTTAAATTAATAATGGTTTACAGCAACTGAATAAAACATTTTACAATATTTATGTAGAAATATGTGCATGATTTAGAAAGTCGTTAAGCTGGAAAACTGCAATATAATGTAGACTTAGAGAGGTTACTTCGATGTATTCATTAAGCTTAGTGAAAACATAATATAGATATGTATACATAATAATAATAACTTGAACTCTTAAAGAGCCTTTGAATGTTATTAGACTAACGAAAAGGGTTGTGTATGTTTACTAGCGCTACTCAGCAACAAAAACCATTCATTTTATTTCTAAAATATATATTCTTAAAGTGCACTGAGCAGCAGCCTAAAAAATCTATGTAACTTACCCATATAATATAGTTACAAAATGCTCAAACTCGCATTGTGACATTTAGAATTCGGCTTATATTTCTCCAACAGAAAATTCATCTGCAGAAGAATTTTATTGTGCTCTTACTATGTCATTCGCATCTTTGTTGCCAACGAAGCCGCACGACCATATAAAGGAGGAGGCCCCTAACAGTTCAATAATAAAAGCCAACTTCACTTCAAGTATATTCCATTACACCAAAAATTCCGTAGAGAGATTATATTGACAACTTTATGTAACTGATCAGGCTGAGACAACTAACTGACATCCCCCATGTCAAGGAATTCCAGCTTTAACAGTGACACCACAACCAATTTCTCAAAACTGTGCTAGAGGGTTATTAATTGGCACAGAAGTACGATATGAACTGACGCGACGTGACGAAGGAAAATCAAACTTACACTGTAACGGATATACTTCCCTTTGATGTTAGAACGTGTCTTCCCAACTGATAGATTTTTTTTTCAAATAAAATCATAGATTAATCTGCATTACACTGATGAAATCACGTAAATGTTTAACTACAAAAGATCCACCAATACGATTTTAATACTATTTAAAGGTTCTTCCAAAGGAAGAGATACCAGATAGCATACCTCCTAACAACTCCGATTACGTACAGTATGGGAAATATTTTTTTCATTGAATAATCAACCATATTTGGTAACTAAGACAATTAATATCATTATTGTTTCTACACTTATTAATCAATGCTGAATGCTCAAAATATGTATAATTTCACTCAATTTATCGCAGTCAGATGAATTAGCGTAAGCCTTGAAAGTAACCGTTGATTTCGACGGGTTTCACCTAGTTACTTATTTAAATCCAAACTGTACTAACAATTTAAACACAAAATAGTTTCAACCGACCAATGCAACTTGAAAATATTAAATACATTGATTATCAAGCCTGTCTATTACTGTATTTAATAGTTGTATTTGTTTACAAACCCCAATCATTAACTTTGTAACGTATTAAAATAATCAGTGCAACCAATTACCCTCTAAATGATGTTTTCTACGATAGTGTATAATGAAAAGTCAGCGTTAATACAAATTTGTTGACTTACTTGACTTATTTCCTGTCGCTCCTTAGCGGGAGCATAGGGCATCGAGAAGAGCTCGCCATCCATCCCTGTCTTGCGCCAGATCCCTCAGTTGACCCCAGGTCTTCCCGACACTCGAGGCTTCCTTCATTATTGTTCTCCTCCAGGTGTCACAGGATCTTCCTCTCTTTCTTGTCCCTTGGGGATTCCATTCCAGGGCCTTCTTTTCAATTGCACCATCCGTCTTCCGAAGAGTGTGACTCAGCCACCTCCACTTCCGTCTTCTGATTTCTAGGCTGATCTTGGTTTGCCCTGTTGCCTCCCAAAGCTGTTCATTTGATATAGTGTTTGGCCAGAACACTCTCATTATACGTCTGAGACACCTGTTTACAAACACCTGGAGCTGAGAAGTACTTCGCTGATCCATTTTCCAAGTTTCACTGGCATATAGAAGGACAGACTTGACGTTTGTGTTGAAGATGCGGATTTTGGTTTTCATTGAAATATTTCTATTTCGCCATATTGTGTAAAGCTGAATAAATGCTGCATTAGCTTTCCCAATGCGGCTCCTAACATCTTCCTTTGCTCCTCCGTCTGCTGTGACTTTACTTCCGAGGTATTGGAAAGAGTCGACCTCTTCAATCACTTTCCCATTTAGTTCTAAGGCTTGGGCTACTCTGGAATTCAACCTCATTTCCTTTGTCTTATTTATATTTATCTTAAGACCCACCTCTTCAGCCTCCCTTTGTAGAGAACTTAGTTTCGCCTGAATATCAGTGTACCTCTGGGCAATCAAGCAAAGGTCGTCAGCAAAGTCAAGGTCCTCCAGCCGCTCCCTCAGTCCCCACTGCACTCCCGCCTTCTATTATTTGTTACTCTCCTCATAACTGAGTCCAGCACCAAAAGGAACAGTATTGGTGATAAAATGCAGCCCTGACGAACACCTATTTTAACTGGGATTGCTCCTGTAAACTTTCCTTGGTGCGAAACCTGACACTGGAAATCATCGTACATTGCCTTGATGATATTTATGATTTTAGGGGGTATCCCATATTCTTGTAGAACATGCCACAGCACCTGGTGTTTCACTGTGTCAAAGGCCTTCTCGAAATCTACAAATGCCAGGTAAAGAGTACTTTGAAATTCTTTGCTCTGTTCAAGTAGGATTCGGAGAGTACTAATTAAATCCACACAACTTCTTGCTTCCCGGAAACCTGCCTGTTCTTTCCTCAGTTTCAGTTCGATGGAACCTTTAATCCGGTTTAGGATTATTCTGGCCAGCACTTTGCTTGGGACTGACAAAAGGGTAATACCTCTCCAATTATTACTATACAGAGCGTTACATCCCCTCTCTTTGGTATTTTGACAACTATACCCTTCATCCATTCCTTTGGAGTTCTCTCCTCTTGCCAAATCTGTTGAAGTAGTGGATGAAGTAAGTCCGCGGCTACATCACCAGCTTTTAGGATCTCGACCGAAATGTTGTCTAAACCAGGGGCTTTGCCATTTTTCATGCTTTTGATCGCATCTTTGATTTCTTCAATTGAGGGGATTTCTAAATTTATACCATGCTCCACCTGCACAGGGCGAGGTAGTGGCAAAGCCTCGTCCTGAGTTTCTGCTCTATCCAGTAGTTCGCTGAAGTGTTCCTGCCATCTATTCAACTGGTCTTCAATGTTTGTCAGCATTTCACCACTCTTACTTCTTACTGGTTTTTCTCTAGCGAAGTTCTTCTTTGCCAGTTTCCTTGTAATGTCGTAAAGATTTTTGCTATTACCTTGTCTAGCAGCTTCTTCTGCTTCCTGAGCCAGTTCATCAACCCATCTTCTTTTGTCTCTTCGCACATATCTCTTGACATTACGATTCGCCTCTGAATATTCTTGATAGACGTTTTGCTTTTGCAATCTGGTTTTGGAGCTGTCATATTTTGTTTTCAAAATCTTCCTTCGGTTTACTTCAGTCCACGTTTCATCCGACATCCATTCCTTCTTTTGCTTATTCCTGTAGCCTAAAACATTTTCACTAACCTCTTCAAAAACTTGCTTCACATTCTTCCAGATGTTCTCCACCCCCGAACTCAAGGCACCACTGTCAGCCAAGACTTGATATCTATTTGTGGTTTCAATATTTAATTTTAATTTTTTACTAGCGCTACTCAGCAACAAAAACTATTTATTTTATTTCTAAAATATATATTCTTAAAGTGCACTGAGCAGCAGCCTAAAAAATCTATGTAACTTACCCATATAATATAGTTACAAAATGCTCAAACTCGCATTGTGACATTTAGAATTCGGCTTATATTTCTCCAACAGAAAATTCATCTGCAGAAGAATTTTATTGTGCTCTTACTATGTCATTCGCATCTTTGTTGCCTACGAAGCCACACGACCATATAAAGGAGGAGGCCCCTAACAGTTCAATAATAAAAGCCAACTTCACTTCAAGTATATTCCATTACACCAAAAATTCCGTAGAGAGATTATATTGACAACTTTATGTAACTGATCAGGCTGAGACAACTAACTGACATCCCCCATGTCAAGGAATTCCAGCTTTAACAGGGACACCACAACCAATTTCTCAAAACTGTGCTAGAGGGTTATTAATTGGCACAGAAGTACGATATGAACTGACGCGACGTGACGAAGGAAAATCAAACTTACACTGTAACGGATATACTTCCCTTTGATGTTAGAACGTGTCTTCCCAACTGATATTTTTTTTTTTTTTATAAAATCATAGATTAATCTGCATTACACTGATGAAATCACGTAAATGTTTAACTACAAAAGATCCACCGATACGATTTTAATACTATTTAAAGGTTCTTCCAAAGGAAGAGATACCAGATAGCATACCTCCTAACAACTCCGATTACGTACAGTATGGGAAATATTTTATTCATTGAATGATCAACCATATTTGGTAACTAACACAATTAATATCATTATTGTTTCTACACTTATTAATCAATGCTAAATGCTCAAAATATGTATAATTTCACTCAATTTATCGCAGTCAGATGAATTAGCGTAAGCCTTGAAAGTAACCGTCGATTTCGACGGGTTTCACCTAGTTACTTATTTAAATCCAAACTGTACTAACAATTTAAACACAAAATAGTTTCAACCGACCAATGCAACTTGAAAATATTAAATACATTGATTATCAAGCCTGTCTATTACTGTATTTAATAGTTGTATTTGTTTACAAACCCCAATCATTAACTTTGTAACGTATTAAAATAATCAGTGCAACCAATTACCCTCTAAATGATGTTTTCTACTATAGTGTATAATGAAAAGTCAGCGTTAAATACAAATTTGTAGCTGCAAAATATTTTTGCTACTTTGTTATCTCAATGCACGTCTCAAGGGACAAGGAGAAAAGCTTATACGTCCGACATATTTATGTCCGTCCAAGGGAAGATATCACTAGGGAAGGGGACCTGCGTGAATTATGATTAGGGCGAGCTAAGGAGTTTGTTTTGCAAATAGAGTAAAGCATGAACTTCGTTTGAGAGGTTTTAAGCAGTTATATGTTGTTTTATCATTATTAAACTGAATATTTTGATTTAGTTGGTAATATGACTTTAAATCCTTCTATCAATAGTAAATAGGAAGTGGAAACATATGTTTTACGATTGTTTATGTACGAAGAAAACTTTATACTTCCTTATCATTGATGAGGTATTTGATAATTTCTCTATCGCTTTTTCATGTTGACTTTAGGCCTATCTACTTAATTATAAGACCATTATTTAAAATCACTAGGCTTACTCTAAGGCTATTTTTTATGAATATTCGTTGAGCAGTGAAAATTTGAGTAAAGAACTGTAATCGATTAGTAGCCTAGAAATAACTACGGTACGTGTTTATTATGATCACAATTTTTTTAAGAGTCTCTTTACCGTTCAACGCCTCGGAGGATTTATTCGTCCACCGTTCGTAATGTAAGAAGTATTCACTATAACTCCAACGTGTCAACGCCATAAAAGTAGTTCATATATGGGATGCGTTTGAGTGAAAACAAGTAGAGTATAATTATTGCTATAGAGTCGTCATGCCATATAAAAACTTTACTATTAATATATCTAGAATGACAATTGAAAGAATGGAATGGGATTGAATGTAGACTTTGCGTTGCTTGTGTAATCGGGAACTGTCATATTAGCAGCAAAATATGACTCAGTGTTGGTCATATGTAATGATGACGCAGGTCATAATGAGGGATGGATACCACGTAATGTTCTGGAGTGATGGAATGCTGCACAAATGCACGTCAGGGTGTAGTAAAATTGACACAACTCTAGCATTTCATCATCCTGCTTCAAACCGCATGTGTAGCATCTAGCAGAGTCAAAACTGCAAGTGCTTAAAGCAGAGTGATCTATTTAGGGATAAAAAGCAATCGTTCTAAACCATGTGTTATGAAACTAGTTTATTTCTGACCTGACATTCTGAAATACTGTACTTTTTACAAGTAAGTTAATATGACACACGTCACATACTTTTTGTAAGCATTCCGAATGTTTCGGGAATAAATGTTTAATATTTATAGATTTTGAGTAAATTTATAATGGTTTTGTGTTTAGTTTGAAGTAGAATATTTTACCAGGACCTCTATTAGCAAAACAGCCGTCTCGATATGTTTTATTAATTAAAAATACATTCCAGATAAACTATTATAAATTACCCTATGCTATGATTTAAATTTAGGATGCTTAGCGAAAGCTCCTAAGCAGTTTGCATAAGGCAAAAAATGATAGAAAAGGTTTGCTATGGTAGAGCGATGGGTTGAAATTAAAAAATAAAATAAATGTATGTACTGTTTATCAGATCGAAGCTTAGAAATGAACACGGAAGATTCACAAGTTTTTATTGAAATGTTATACTTCCAGTTGTTAGTTTAGAAATTGATTGGCAGAGTTTAACTTCTGTAATTTATCCTTAAATAATATCAAAATAAAATTATTCACACAGTGAAATATCTGTTCCATGTTTACTCCTAAAAAAATATCGATAACAAATAAACTAAATAATTAATTTGAGCTATTAGTAATATTAAGTAAATATATAAGTAATAAATATGAAAATGAAGACGGGTGTAATAAAAGTGATATAGAGGGCTCTGCAGGACCATTGCGAGTCAGTCGTCAGGTTATATGGGCGGTCCATCATTGTGTTGAGACAGCTCCTTGCAAAAGCAACATTAAAGAATATTTTCTTACTCATAATTAAAACTATATTTTCATCCATGAAATAGTTATGAAAACTTTTATATTAAATGACAAAACTAAACAATTACAGAATCTTTGTGAATCTAACTCTATAGAATATTGATTTAAGTTAGAGTGAAATAATATTCTTAAAATTACTTAGTTAAAACAATCCAAGGTGGGGTGTTTTATTTCATCTACCTCAATTTGCAAACTGCATTTAAGTTGGCAATGCGAATACATGGAAAAATGGCACATTTTGTTAACATGAGATGACATGTCACTAGCTGTTATACAATAATGAAGAAGTGATTGATAATATCTAAACCACTTAAACCTTATTAAATCTTGAAAACTCTCATTGTTAATATATTTATTTAATTCATATTGAATCTTTAACTAGTTTAAGGGATTAGATGTTTTATAATTTTATCAGTTTGTTACTTTATAGCTCATTATTAGAGCTATTTTAC